GTTTCCTCAACTGTGAAATGAGACGCGCTCAGACGTGTTGTAAGGACTTACTAAGATAATGTTTGCCTGCCATAAAGTAGATGGCCATTATGTTCTTTTTCTCTACATTGTTGATTTGTTCATAAACATTTACATCAAGAAGAGGACAGAAGAAAGACAAAATAGCCCAAATATGTCCACTCTGAAAAAGAGAAGAATTTTTAAATTTTATTTTAAACAAGTAGCCATGATATCTCTGTTCACACTACTACAGATTAAAAAAAAAGTTGATCTGACATGAAGGGTTCTGTAAAAATGTGAGATCAAATTAGATTATCTTTGCCTTCACTGATTTTAACTTGTGATGTTGGAGGCCTCTTGTCTTTTCAGTAATGTTGCAAGTAATCTCTTGTCCTAAGAGTAAAGAGACCTGGGAGGAGAAACCGGTGGGGAGCCAGTTGGGATGAATGAAAAGATGAACAAGAGACTTGGAAAGCCAACCTGTCTTACTGTAGTGTTGATACTTTGAGTGAGTTTTACTTTTCCTGTGCATGGGATTATAATTGGCTTTATACGCTAAATTCAAGCTCATTTGGTTCTTTTGGTGTGACATTCCCGTTAATAAAAATTTATCATATAGAAGGTCTCTCTTACTGTCTTTCCACAGTTCTTTCTTTCTGCTTACTCTTTACTTAGCCACAATTTAATTCATCTGTAAATGCTGATCAAGGTTGGATTTTATTTTGAATGTAACCCATAGTAAATCATGTGTTTTTAAAATTATACTTTGACATTATTTAGCATTCATAGCTTACCATTGTAGTTTTAAAGGGAAGATTCTAACCTCATTTTCCCTATGCTTCTATGGAAGTAATGTAACACTTTGTTTAAAATTTATTTATTCCAGTTTGAGTGTATATACACTGAATCTGAAGTATATTATTTATACTACCACCATTATGGGGTACCTAATTGTATACCAAGTATGTATACTTTATTTTGGGAGTACAAAAAAGGAACAAAAAGCCATATCTCAGGGAGCTTAAGTTTGGAAACTGGTTAACCATCAAAGTCTAATGTGAATGAAATTTTTTTTTAAGAAAAAGTATAATACTATAACATTGGATGAAAGAAGGAAATTAATTCATTCTTCAGCTGACCTCAATTTAAAAGGGAGGCAAATCACTATGTTAACTTTGAGCACAATAGAAAATATCTTGATACCTCATTGAAATAGTACTTTTAAACCATGCTTTGGGATCTTGAAACTTTTTCAAGAACCATGTTCTTGAAACTGAATTCCCTCTTATTTGCTTAAGACTACCATATTGGTATGTTTATTGTAAGTTTAGCTATTTAAAGCAGTAGTCCTCAAACTTTAATTTCTGTCAAAATCACCTGGAGGGCTTGTTAAAACAGATTACCTGGCCCCACCCTGAGAGTAATTAATTCAGTAAGTCCAGGGTGGGTCCAAATACTTACATTTCTATCAAGGTCCCATATGACACTGATGCTTCTGGTCCAGGGACTACACATTGAGAACAGATTTATCTGAGCTCAAAAATTGTTAATGACTTCCTAATATGAACCATATATTGTTTCTGGTCTAATTACTCTCAGTATGCATTTGAGCTCCTATGTGCCAAGCACTGTATTTACTTCTTCACAGAGGTGAGATGATGTGGAACTCTCTCAGGCTCAATCTAATAGGATCAACAGTGGTAGTATTATAATAATAAAAGTAATCACTGTCATGTACTGAGGCTTGATGTGCCAGGTACCATGCTGAGGATTATTTAAACTCATTTAATCCTCACTGGAGTTTTATGAATTAGGGCATATACTCCTTATTTTAGATGAAAAAACTGAAGTCTAGAAAGGTTAAATAATTTCCCAGAATTCACATTGAGTGTATGGAGGAGCCAGAATTTGCTATTCTGCCTTCCTGAACTATAAAATGTTTGTGAAGATGGTGAACCACTGGAGGAGTGGAGCCAATTGTCTTTACCTTAGGAAATCAGATCGCATCACAGAAGAGATAGCACTGGAGCATCTTAAGAGACAAGTGAAAGATAGCCAGATGAATTGGAACTGTACTTTCTAACTGAAGGAACGGTTTCTGTAAAGCCAAGGAGAATCTGAGAGAACATAAGTTCCACAGATGGCAAATAGTTATATAAGACCATAATACTATAGGCTACATGGAGTACATGAGGAAAAAAAGGTCAAGGCCATGAAGAATTTTATATACCTGGCTAAGAAGTTTTTAAAATATAATTCATTTTTGTTTGTTTCATTTGTTTGTTTATCCTTTTTCCTATAACGTTCATCTCTGTTAAGCCTGTGGTTCTCAAATTATGGTCACATAGCAGAATCAATATCATCTGAACTTGTTAGAAATGCAAGATTCCTTTAGTGAGCCATCGTGGTACGCACCTGTTGTGATAGAGGTGGAAAGATCACTTAAGCCCAGGAGTGTGAGATTACAGTGGGTTATGATCATGCCACCAGACTCCAGTGTGGGCAACAGAGAGACCCTGTCTCTAGAAATAATAATTTTAAAATGTTTTTACAAAAGAAACACAAACTCCTGGTCCTACCCTATACCTACTGAATCAGTAAGATACAGAATTCTTAAGTAACAACCTTGAAGATAGTCAAAAGTCACTATAATGATAGTAATTATATCTGAGACTGATTTAATTTTGTTAGAGTACAATGCCCAACAAAATTGAAATATTAATGCTTTTTAAAGGATACGTGTATTCAATGTGATCCATCTACTCTGCAAACCTGTTTCCTCTGTTAGTATAAAAATGGTCGAAGTCAGGACAAGAGTTTGTTAGATCAGAATTCACAGAATAGCATGCTAGTTATTCTTATTCCTTAGCTACAGGACTGATTTGGAAACTTGTGGACTGACTTTAATTATCAAAAAAACAAAAATAAAAATAGTATACCTTCTTTAAAAGATTTTTCCCCCACCTGCTTGTTAATAATCTACAGGGTATCTGGCACTGATCTTTACATTAAAGCTTTATGGCTTATATAGTAGTTGTGTAGTTTGTAGTCATACAGTCATACTTTGCACAGCTTTCTACAAGCATTTAAAGCACAACATGTGTAAAATATTTATTAATGATACATAATATACTTTGCATATACAGAACCCTTTTTAATCTTAGAAGTAGTGGCAGCAAGAAGTGACATAGTATACTGTAATTAATGTGGTTAATGTTCAAATAAACAAACTTAACAGTTTCCATGTGATGGATGATTCAGGGTTTCAAGGATTTAGAAGTGCAGAGTCCATTGAGGCACTGACACCAACCTCTTCATTTTACAGATGGGGAAACTGAGGACCTAGGGAGTTAAATAGGTTATTTGCTGATGGTCACACAGGTGGGAGTAGCAGAACCAGCATTATAACCAAGTCTACTTGGATTACAATGTAAAAGCCATAACCATATAAGACAGGATGTTTCTGAGCCTCCAAACCATCTAAAGTAAAGTAAATAGTCTTCAGATACTTCAGATACTAAAGTCTTCTCAGGTGGAGTATACTTTTATGAAGAGTATTTAGTAACATTTTATATGAAAATTGTTTTAAAGCAGAAGTCCCCAGTCGCCAGGCCATGGACTGATACCAGTTTGTGACCTGTTAGGAACCGGGCTGTAAAGCAGGAGGTGAGCAGCCAACGAGCAGAGCTCTGCCTCCTGTCCAATCAGCAGTGGTATTAGAGTTTCATGGGAGCATGAACCTTATTGTAAACTGTGCATGCGAGGGACCTAGGTTATGTGCTCCTTATAAGAATCTAACGCCAGATGATCCTCCCCTCTATCCTCCTGTCTGTGGGAAAATTGTCTTCCACAAAACTGGTCCCTGGTGCCAAAAAGACTGCTGTTTTAAAGACCTCTTTTTTTTGTATTGATTCAGTAGGCTAAGTATCAGATTTTTCTTTACAAGAATAGTTAAAAAAAATCTTAGTAAGCCAGGCTCGGTGGCTCAGCCTGTAATCCCGCGCCTTTAGGAGGCTGAGGTGAGTAGATTGCCTGAGCCCGTGGGTTCGAGACCCGCCTGGGCAGCGAGACCTCATCTCTACAATAAATCAAAAAATTAGCCAGGCGTGGTAGCGCACGCCTGTAATTCCGGGCTACTC